TTCCATGTCCTCTTCTAAATCTGGCTTGAATTTCTGACAGTTCTCTGTCAATGTATTGTTGCAGCTGTTTTTTAATTATCTTCAGCAAAATTTTACTTGCATGTGTTATTCATGATATAGTTGGGTGATTTTTGTATTCCATTGATCACCTCTCTTTGGAATGGACACACATATGGATATCTTGCAATCAATTAGTCAGATGACTGTCTTCCAAATTTCTTGCCATAGATGAATGAGTACTTAAACAATGCTGAATGAATCTGTTGAAATATATCAACCTCTACTCTGTCAATTCCTGGAGCCTTGTTTTTCTCGAATGCCTTTAGTGAAGCTTAGACTTCTTCAGTACTTAGGTTCTTGATCATATGCTACTTCTTGAAATTAGCTGAACATTGACCATTTCTTTTTGGTGCAGTGATTCCGTGCATTCTTTCCATCTTCTTTTGATGCTTTTTGTATCACTCAGTATTTTGCTCATTTTCTTGTTGTTAATTGCTGTTGAGTTGGTTCTGACCCATAGAAATCCTGGGTAAGGTTTCCAAGGAGCAGTTGGTGGATTTGAATTGCTGATCTTGTAGTTCAAATTGACCTTGAATCCAGAGCATTATCCTGAAGCGCCATACCAGGGCTCCATTTTGCCCAAAGAAACCTTTAATATTGTAATCTAAGGCTTGAATTTTTTTCTTTAGTTCTTTCAGCTTGAGAAATGCTGAGTGTGTTCTTCCCTTTGGTTTTCTAATTTCAGGTCTTTGCATGGTTCATTATAATACTTGGCTTTGTCTTCTCAAACTGTCCTTTGAAATATTCTGTTCAGCTCTTTTTTTTTTTTAAAGATATTTAATGATGCTTTAAATATAAAGGTGCATATTCCGTTACTATGTAGGAATATATCAAAACACCCCCTTGTTGTTAGGTACCATCAAGTTGGTACTGACTCATAGCAACCTTGTGCACATCTGTTCAGCTCTTTTAATTCCTCATTTCATCCAATCGCTTTAGCATCTTGTCACTAGAGAGCAAATTTCAGAGCTTCTTCTGACATCCATTTTGGTCTTTCCTTTTTTTCCTGTCTTTTTAATGACCTTTTGCTTTTTTCCTATATGATATTCTTGATGTCATCCCCCACGTCTTCTGGTCTTCAGTCATTAGTGTTTAATGCATTGAATCTGTTTTTGAGGTGGGATAAATTCAGTTGAGATATCATCAAGGTCATATTTTGTCTCTCATGAACTTGTTTTTAGTTTTCTTCAGCTTCTGCCTAAACTTGCATCAGAGCAACGGATGGTCTGTTCCACAGTTGGTCCCTGGTCTTGTTTTGTCTGATGATATTGAGCTTTCCACCTTTTCTTCCCACAGATGTAGTCAGTTTGATTTCTGTATATCCTGTCTGGTGAGGTCCAGGTGTTAGTGTGTCTAGTCACTTTTTATGTTGTTTTAAAAAAGATATTTGCAATGAATAAATCATTGGTCTTGCAAAAATCTGTCTCATGGTCTCCAGCATAATTTCTATCACCAGGGCCATAATTCCCAACTACTGATCCTTCCTGTTTGTTTCCAGCTGTCATATTTCAATCACCAGTATTAATCAAGGCATCTGTATTACATGTTTGATCAATTTCAAGCCGAAGAAATTGGTAGAATTCTTCAATTTCATCATCATTGTCTTTAGTAGTTTGTGGGTAAAATTGAATAATAGTGGTATTAACAGGTTTTCCTTGTGTTATTGCTTAGTGCTGTAGAGTTGTTTTAGATTCTACATAGGGTTTTCAAGTCACAGCGTGTGGATTTGAACTGCCGTCCTTCCTTGTAGGCATAAGGATATTTATTATCCTATCACAAATAGCATTGTACTTCAAGATACATCTTGAAATGTTATTTTTAAGGAATGTAATCCTTCCTTTTGAATATGTCGCCCTGGCATAGTAAACCACGTGATTGTCCGATTCAGAGTGAACAATACCAGCTCATTTCCAGTCACTAATGCTTAGGATATAGATCTACATGCATTTCATTTCATTTTTGACAACTTTCAATTTTTTTCAATTTATCATCTGTACATTCCACATTCTGATTATTAGCTGTTTCTCCTCATTTTGAGTTGTTCTCCATCAGTCAGGGAAGGTCCTGAAAGCTTTACTACAGTCACATCATCTTGGTTAAGTGTACTTTGAGGAGGAAGCTCTTTTCCAATTGTAGTTTGAGTGCAGTCCAATCCTAGGGGCTTATCTTCCAGCACTAGATTTGACAATGTCCTGATGCTATTCATAAGGTTTTCAGTGGGTAACCCATTCAGAAGTAGTCCGCCTTTCTTCTTTCTAGTCTATCATAGTCTGAAACCTGTCTACCATGGGTGATCGTGCTGGTATTTAAAATGTCTTCCATCATCACAGCAACAAGCAAGTCACCACAATAGGAGAAACTTGCAGAAGAGTGATGGATACCAGCAGATATGTGAGATAAAGCACTGGACCACAAGGTTGGTTTGAACCACAAGGTGGGTGGTTCAAATTCACCAGCCACTCCTTGGAAGCCCTACACAGAGTCGCTATGAGTCCGAACTGACTTGATGGCACTTAAGCACAACAACAACATTTCAAACACTAGCCGGGTCACTGTGGTAGACAGGTTCAGTGGTGCTTTCAGAAGACAGACTAGGAAAGAGTTGTGGCAATCACAATCTGAAAACTGCAATGAAAACCCAGTTTCTCACAACGGAGCAGTGTCTGACATGCTGGCAGATAAGCCCCCTTGGTGGGAAGGCATTAAGAACTCAAGCATACCAGCAGTTGTGAGGATGATGTGGGACCAAGTACCACTTACTCCTGTTATACATGGGATCACCCTGCGTCAGAGCTGACTCCAAGGTAATTAACAACACTGTAAGTGCATCCCTCCACCTCACAGCAGAAGACCTAATCTCTGAGGAATCATTTCAAAGTCATCCATCCCTCTTTGAAAGTTTTTCTGATTTCCTTCCCCATGACCCTGTCACTACTCTGTGTTGTAGATTCTATTCCCTAAATCATGATATGGAGTCCTGGTGGGGCGTGGCAGATTCATGTGCTGGAATGCAAGGTCAAAGGTTCAAACTCACTAGCTGCTCCTCAGAAACCCTATACAGGGTCGCTCTGAGTTGGAACCAATTTGATGGCACTTAACAACAACAACAAAGTCATAATATGGTGTCCTGGTGTAGTGCTGTAGGATAAGCACTGGACTGCAAGGTTGGCGGTTCAATCCCATCAGCCACTCCTTGGAAATCCTATACAGGGTCTCTTAAGTGTTGGAGCCAATTCCATGGCACTCAACAACACCACCAGCCCAGGGCCTGACATTCATTCACTCTATCAATATTTGTTGAAGACCTACTATGTAACAGACATGCTTCCAGACTTGCACTTGTTTACTGAACATAAGTTTTTGCAAATATCTACACTGCAAGGTCAGAACATGACCTTCTTTAGGCTGTCCCATAGTTAGAGATAGGCGCAGTGTCTAATTCCTGGTGCTAAACTAATGTGATCAAGTGTCAAAATGTGTTGTTTGGACATTAATCATTGGGTGGTTAAGAATAGGTTTGAGCCAACATGGAAGCTTGTGGAGGACCAAGCCTTACCCTTGTCTGTAGCTTCAGCATCTTCCAAGACTTAAGATTAGGTAGGTTTTCATTCAAGGATGGTTGAATTAAAATTTCAAACTTCCCAGGGAAATTCTAGGGAAACCTTGGGATAGGAAGGGGAAAGAAATTATGATGTGGGTGAACAGAGTGAGCAAACTATCAGCGGTAGGAACAAGTACTTGGGAAGTGTTTCTTTCAGAAAGGCTCAGATTTGGGTAATCACACACTTGTTAATGGCAAAAGCAGTGCCCCTCCCACAAGCTGGTCAGTTTCCTCATTAACATCTGTGTTTTAACTGCTTGTTTTGCATATATTACTGAAAAGCTGTGCTGAGGGGTGAGATACAATGGGCATGAGTACAACTCTATAGTTTTGAACTCTCTTTGTGAAGTTTTAAACAGGGCACATTAGCTATTTTCTATACTATGGGGCCTCTTGTATTCAAATCAAAAGCACAAAACCCTATTGTAGGAGAAAAAGAAGTTTCTATTGGCAACCAGTTGTGTCCACTTAAAGCAAGAAATGTAAAGTCTTAGAGGACATTCCATACGAAGTACTGTAGCTATTAATATACTTGGGGTTTTTTTGGGGGAAAAAAAGAACGAGTGTGTTTGTGGGAAAGTCGTCTAACGAGTACCAGGGCCATATCCAATCTAGAGAGGGAGGGAAGTGGTAGTAGGGGTAGCGAAGCCCACCTAGACACAGGGTAATGGAGAGAGTCGGTTGTGGTCTTGGCACTTTGCTGTGAATCCTTGTCACCTACACACTTTGGCTTCTGTATTTCCCTCTAAGGTAAAGGGGGTTGGAATCCACAACCACTCAAGTCTTTTCAACTCCTTCTGGATCCTTTCTGAATCATTCTTATTAAAGACCAAGCGGCTAGATGGTGGGGTGTTTAGCTCCGAGAGTGTGGGGAGTTAGCTGAGGGATTTGTAGACTCCAGAGTGGTGCAAACAGGGGGTGTCCTGGGACAAGGATAAAGGGATGAGAATTCCAGACAAGTCTTTCCAAGGCCAACTTTTAAAGGTCGGAGGAAAGTTTATCGTGGGGTGGGGACCCTAAGGGAAGAGCTGGGTGGGATCCGTCGCCTCCTCCCCTTTAAGCGGGTGGCCCCGGCCCTTCCTTCGTTACCTGGAGCGGGGAGGGGCTTGGGAAAGTTTGTGTTTGTTGCTGGCAAAGCGCCGGATGGGAGGCGCGGGCGGGCGGGCGCTGCGGCTCTTCCCTTTTGCTTTCGGGAAGCGGTCGGGGCTGCACACTTGGATCGCCTGGGCCGGCTCGGGCGCCTTGATCCCGGTCACCGGGCAGTGGGAGGTGGGAGGGAAAGCGGAGAACGGGAGGGAGCGGAGAAAGGGGTGCACGTACGCTCCAGCGCTGGGATTTCTCGGCTCGAGAGGAGAGCGGAGCAGGCGCGCGGCCCAGACGGAGGAGCGCGGACTCTGGAGCAGTCGGAGCTGGAGGAGGAGGAGAGGCGGCGGGGAAGGCGGAGGAGGGAGAGAGTCGCTCCCGCCCGGCGAGCATGGGTCGCCCGGCGCCGAGGCCCCTGCTGCTGGCGCTCCTGGCGCTGGGTGAGTACGCATGGGGGTCGCAGGGACGCTGGGGGCTTGCCGAGGTCCCCGGGGGGATCGGCGAGGCGCTGCTGCTCCGCGCGGCCTGGACCGCCGGGGATTCCCCGGACTGCTCCCGGGAGACCCGGCCGGCGGGCGTCGTGTCGGGCGGGGAGCTGCCGCGGGGCTGCCCGGAGCCGAGCGCGAATCTGCCCGGCCCCGCGCGCTGTGGGCAAGTCACCGCACCTCCAGGCCGAGCCTCGCCCCCACATGTGCCGGGGGGAGTGGCTGCTGGCCGGCTTTCCCTACAACCTTCCCTACCTGTTGGCCGCCGGGAACCGGGCTCACCTTGAACTCTCGGCCCGGAAGGTGCCTGCTTTTCCCTGCCCGCGTCCCCCCCAGGAAAGCGGAAATATGCGGCTTTCATAAGCCCCGCCATAGCCGCGATCGGCGAAATCGCCCTTCACACCCACAAACCCACCCCGAGGTGTCTTCCAGGAAAGAGAAGGAACCCACCAACTTCCTTCTCTAAAGGTTACAGAGGGTGGGTGGGTGGGGGGGGAACGCGGAAAGGAGCGAAGGTTACAATAAAGATCGGCGTGCGAATCCTTCCGACGTTTCCTCGTGGCTAGATCTTCTTCAGTCTTTTCATCTCAGCTTTTCTAAGAGCTGTGTATCTATCTATACACAAAGACCTAAGAGCCTTCTCCAACTTTTTTTTTTTTTTTTTACCTGTTACTGTCCCATCCTTGTCTTCCACCTTACCCAAGCTCTTAGTGCCTCATGATAATTTGGCCCTCAACCCAAGGAATCATTGTTTTTTTGTTTCTTTCTTTTCCATTCTACATTCCATACACAGACACTTCCTTGCAGTAAATACACATGGTTATCTTAACCTTCAAAAAAAATGTTGTTATGTGCGGGGAAGTCGGTTCCTACTCATAGCGACCCTGTATAGGGTTTCCGAGGCTGTAAGTCTTTACGCGAGCAGAAAGCCTCGTCTTTCTCCTGAGAAACCGCTGGTAGTTTCGAACTGCTGACCCTTGAGGTTAGCAGCCCCACTCGTAACCACTACGCTACCAGAGCCCGTTGGTAAAAATAACAAAAAAAAACAACAAAACCATCCCCCACCCCTCAAAAAAAACATGTGTGTATTAAGTGCCCACCCTGAGGGCTTGGATATGGATGCTTTGGTGAATGAAGTGATCAGAGGTTCTTTTCCAAGTCTCTAGGGGAACACAGATCCCAACCTGTCACAGATTGCAGGAGTGTGGTATCTGCTCCAGCCAGGCCCCAGCTGGAGAGAGGGTAAATGACTTATGGCCAGAAAGTCCCAGTGGAAGTCTTCCAGATCCACTCCCCTCCTGCTGGTACCAGGGTCCACTGTCTCAATCCCTGTGACTTCAGCCTAACTGCTCCTCTGTTTTCTTTCTTCACCTCTGAGGTGATTTCTTAAACTCAGCTCCCTAAGAGGATTCATCCAGACGCATGGCTTCAGTTGCATCCTGTGTTGAGAATGGTCATTTAATTTTAATTGTAGCGTCTCATGTATGGGTTGATCCTAGTGCTCCTAGGACCCTTGTATGTTCTTGATTTCTTTCACACCCATTAGTTTGGTCTAAGTGTCTGGGTCAAGCAGGGCCATGGCCTACACTTGTACAGACAGTGCACTGCATAACTCTAGGAGCTGCTATTCATTTCATGGTTTCTGTGAATGACTCCCTCTAGAGTTGTGCAGAAGCCTGTGACTCAGCTAAGAGGGTGGGGTAAGGAAGTTTGTAAAAAACTGCCTCTGAAGAACTATGGTAAGGAGGAAAAAAGGAGAGAAGGCAACAAGAGACTGGCAGAATAAAATAGAAGTGGGGAGTCTTGCTTGTGCACAGTGTATGCCTCCCTGGCTGGGCATCTCATGTTAACTGCACACAGAATTTCGGTGATGTCACCAGCCAGTGCCTTTCTTCCTAACAGTTCTCTGAACTGGATGTTCCACACAGTAATTGCCTCACAGAAGCTCACTCAGTGTGCCTGCAACCTGACCTCTAGGAAATCCTTCCTTTTTCACACTAAGGGAGCACTGCACCGATTCCTGAAATGTAATATGTTGATAAGCAATATCATCTTTCTTTCTGTATTGCAATCTCTGGGTATAATCTTCTCTCTGACCTCCATGGTCACTTAGCCCTTCAGTTCTGTGGACTTTCCTCAGAGAGCTTCTCTTCCTTCCTGGATCAGCAGCTACTTTCCTAGTCTAGGCCCTGATAGATCCCCACACAGATAACGACTGTTAGCTTCCTAGTTGGCTTTTTCCTTCAGCCTTTTAATTTTTTTCCCCTCACTTCATGATTTTCCTGTAGGACTGTTTTGGGGGAGTCCCATCTTTGCTCATTGATTCTTTATGTCCTTTGAGGAGTGCTACCCCTCCTGTTCTCCTTCTGGTCTTCTCTCTGATTCAGAAACTTCACTCTAGGTTACCACTTTGCTGTTCTTTACATAGAGTATATTTACGCCCTCTGGGCTTTCCTTGGTCTATGGTCTTGGAATGACCCCTCCTGCTTTTCTCTTCTTGTCTCCCTTTTCCCTACAATTCACTTCCTCCATGAAGCTTTCCTAAGTCTACTCCCATAATCACACCAGAAGCTTAAACTAGTTTCACAGAGCAGGCTTTACCTTGTGTTGCCTATGTCTGACCTGTCTTGTCCATTTTTTGAGTGTCCACTGTGTCCATTAGTGTGTTCAGTACTGGGTGTTACTTGTCGGTGTTCTACTGCTAGGTTTTCAGTGACTAAATAGTCGGAAATAGTCCATCTCTCCTTCCTGTCTGTCTTCGTTTGGAAGCCCACCTGTAACCTGTCCACCATGGTTAACCCTGGTGTTGGTGGTGGTTATGTGCTGTGGAGTCAATTCTGACTCATAGTGACCCTGCATAGGGTTTCCGAGGCTGTAAATCTTTATGGAAGTAGAAAGCCTCATCTTTCTCCTATGGAACCACTGGTAGTTTCGAACTGCTGACTGTGAGGTTAGCAGCCCAACTCGTAACCACTATGCTACTAGAGCTCCTTATGGATGAGAAGTTGGGGGTAGGAACCCTGTTCTACCCAGTCGTTCAGGCTCCCAGAGTGATGGCAGCTCTGCTGTCTTCAACCCAGGACTTCCCTGAGCATCCCATCCACAGTGGCGGTCACTCCACTCCAGCTGCAGAAGGAGAAAAAGCAAGGAGAATATATGGAGCCTTCAAGGGCCAAGCGTGGAAGTGTGGAACACATCACTACTGTGCACACCCCACTGAGGCAGGTGCTGCTGCTGGAGCTACAAAGGAAGCTGGGGAGTGCAGAATAAATAGCCGGTCAACCAGGTACCAACTACTATGGAAGAAAGCAAAAGTGGACTTGGGTGGACAGTTCGCTGTCCCTGTGTCGTTAGAAAGTAAGAAGAAAACAGTCCCTACCTCCCTATTTTTCCAGGCATTTGTTGTTAAATACCATCGAGTTGGTTCTGACTCATTGAGACCCTGTATAGTATTTATAAGGAGTGGCTGGTGCATTTGAACTGTCAACCTTGCAGCTCCAACTTACCTTGTGATCTAGTAGTTTATCCTACAGCTCCACACCAGGACTGCTAATTTCTAGGCATAGACACTCATATATAACATATAATGTGTGTGTAACTGGATATTTTGTTAGTTCTTTTTTCATAGCTGCTACACAGGGCTTTGCACCTAAGAGGCACATTGCAACAATAGTTACTATTAATAGAGTACATATCAAGCATCAATCATTCTCTTATTTAAATTTCACAGCCACTTTGTAAAGGCACTGTTCTGTATTGTGGATGAAGAAACTGATGCCCAGAAAAGTTAACTAACATGTCCAGAGTCATACTCCATGCAGAGACAGGATTTGATCCCAGAACACCACTCAGCCTCTATTGAAGAAAAGTTGGTTAATATTCACCATAACCTTATGCTATGTATTGCTTTGAGATTGTTATAGTTGTCATTGGCCATTGAGTCAGGCCCCAACTCATGATGGCTCCACACAGAATGGAATAAAATGTTATGCACACCCTGCCATACCCTGCCCAGGATGAGTTGCTAATTGGGCCATTATGACTCAGGGGGTTTTCATTGTGTGAATTTTGCAATTCGATTGCCAGGCCTTTTGTCCTAGTAGGTCTTAATTCTGGTAGCTCTGCTGAAACTTGTTTGGCATTTTAACAATAAGGAGACCTCCACCCACATATGGGTGACAGCTACAATTGAGGGGTGCATTGGTTGGAAATTGAGTCTGGGTCTCCTGAATTGTTGTTAAGTACCACGGAGTCAGTTCCAACTCATAGTGACCCTGCACAGGTTTTCCGAGGCTGTAAATCTTTACCGGAGCAGAAAGCCTCATCTTTCTCCTGTGGAACCGCTGGTACTTTCAAACTGCCGACCTTGAGGTTGGCAGCCCGATTCGTAACCACTATCTACCAGGGTCTCCTGAATGGAAGGTAAGAACACTGCCGCTGAGCCACCACACCCCTGTAAACAGTTGCCATTGAGTCTGTTCTGTCTCATGACAGCCTCATGAACTTCAGAGTAGAACTGTGTTCTAGAGGGTTTTTAGTGGCTGTTTTTCTTAAGTAGATTTCCAGATCCTTCTTCGAGGTGCCTCGAGATGAATTCAAACCTCCAGTAGTTGACAACTGAGTGGGTTATAACTGCTTGCACCACCCAGGACCTCCTGGTGACATTGATTTGAAACTCACTGCCACTACCATCGAGTCGATTCCATAGTGTCTCTATAGAACAGAGTAGAACAGTTCCTTAGGGTTTCTGAGACTTCAGATCATTGTGGAAGTAGACAACCTCATCATCTCTAGCAGAGCTACTGGTAGGTTTGAACCTCCAGCCTTGTGATTAGCAACCTGATGTTTGACCCACTATGCCACCAGGGTTCCTTGAAAGCACCAATGTGGTTAAAAAGAGAAGGGCCTGGGGTGAGCACAGTGAAGACACAATTTCTAAAGGGAAGTACTGGTGC